TGGGGCACAGCAGCAGGTAGGAGGATAAATCACAGACTCCTGAGCAATGAAAACCTTTCCAGGTCTCTCCCAGGACTGTTCCAGCAGAGCCACTGCTTCCAGTGTCCAGGCATGACACTCATCACTGTATGACAGCTGGACCAGCTTTTGATATATCCTTTTGGATTAAGGGGATGGCTGCATAGGGTGGGACAAAAGTGATGTTTGGGAAAAGCAGTTTGGGGTCAGACAGACTTACTATGGGATGTTTAGGGGAGAAACCAAAGGTTTTTTTAAAAGAGAGAAGTTTAGGTGATTTTGGCAAGAACAAAACTGGGAAAATAAATATAGGGGTAAGGGTATTAAAAGGCTGGGCATGTAAAAGATGCTGATCAGTATTTTTATCTGATCAGTGCAGCCTGTCCTGTCTTCTTATTAATTTATTTTCTGTGTTTTTCCTGGATGAGAGCCTTTTATTCTCTGTGCATTAGGGTGTATGGGGCTATGAGTGCTGCAACTGGAGTCAGACCATGGGGTCAACTGGCCCAGATGTTCATGGTGCCAGAGACTGGAAAGAATGCAGGTCTGCAAGCAAGTGTGTGAATTCTAGCAATGGGCCTGCCAAGAACACAGCTGGCTACAAACAGAACTGGAGAAAACAGTGGCAGTAGCCTCACCTCTCTTGGGCAGTTGGATCTAGCAGGGAAGGTTCTCCTCTAACAGGATTCTTATCTTGCCATCTGACAAATATCTGGGAAGACTGCTTTTGATCCCCTGACAGAAGTCTTCAAAAGACAGGCTTGCTCCCTTCTTTTTTCCTGCACTTTGGTGCAGCAGCAGCACAAGGCCAGAACAGCATCCCAAGTGCGAGCCTGCTCAAAGGTGAAATCATTCTCAGCTGGGCTGTGTAGATGCTACAGACAGACACCAGCTTTGCTTTCACACTACAATATTGGTGTCGACATACTATCAACTTCACACTTTTCAGGCTGCCTAGGTATTCATTTCTTCCTGATTATGTTTAAACAGAGCTAGGAGATACTACAGTCTCAAATATGATGTGTATGTTTAACCATATCACTTCACTTTCAAAAGAATGTTTTCTTGTTAGAGTACTATTATTAAGATTTTATTAAAATGACAGCAATATAATGAGGAATTGGATAAGTGCACTTGGTTTTACAATATTTTGATTAGAGCTAGCACAGCTTCCTATTTACTTATGACGATGCAGAAAAAAAGAACTTTAAACCTCTCCCAGAAAGTTACACACCATAGATTCATATTTTATGTTGTTACAGTGGCACTTAATAAAATGAAGCATTAACACTGCATGAATAAGGCACTAAATACAGTAAGCACGGCAACTGAAATAGGAGAACCAAACATACTCCAGCTGTCATTATTATAAACAATTATTGGATTTCTAACAACATGTTAAATTTGAGACCTCACAGAGACACAGAATCAAACGTGTAGTAGTGATTAGACTGATTTTTTTATCCTCTTCCATTTATGCTTTTAGCAGCAGGTAAGAGAAGAAGATATGGAAGTTCTGAGGCATCAAAAGTGATATGAAAGCAGACAATGGCTTTTCTGGCATGCTTTAGTGAGAAGAAAAGGCCTTATTATGAAATGAAGGCCTTATGAAATAACAACCAATAAAACAGAAGTGTTCACTGTCCCAAGGAGCTACTTTTGGCAGATCTCTCATAAAGTTAGTGTCAAAGTATGTGACTGAATATTGACACACCATAAAAGGCTTGTGAGGAGAGAGAACTAGACCAAGAGTAGTATCCAAAAAAGAATACAGAGTGAGAACACCTCCAAAATCTAACAAATCTGTAGCACACACAGCTCTGCCCTCCATACCCAATACTAAGTAGAATGCTGTCCACATGTAATCTGATATGAAGTGGAGTCACTGCATATGGAATAATGAAATTAAGGACTAGATACCTTTGAAAAAATGAATAAAAAGCAGAGCACCAGACATGACACAAACTATAAAATTATCACAACTTCAACTTTCTTCAAAGTGAACATCCCATTTCAATAAACTGTTTACAGGAGAGCGACCATTTTCTTAGGAAATCCTATTTTAAAAAGAGGATTTAAAATCCTATTTAAAAAAAAAAATTGTAGGCAAAACTCCAAGAGACTTAAATTTATATACTTATTCTCCCCAGGAATCCAACCAAAAAAATTGTGCTATCCATTATGTCTGGATTATGTTGAGGAATCGTTCAATGTACCTTCACACAGTTTATTTGGAGATCCTGGTCCTGCTTTTGGTTGTGCTGACTTCGTAATCAGGGGAAAAGAGAGTAACTACTCAGGGGAAAAGAGAGTAATGTATGAGCAAAAGCATTGTTGGGTCTTCTAAATGTGCAGAAACAGAAAAGCTCAGTTTAGGTGTCTTCAAGAGGGAAAGGAAAGGATGAGATGAGTATTAAAATAAGTACAGAGATGGTAAAAAGCTGAAATACAACAATTATGAAACACAGAGAGAAGGTGAGATGAAACTGTGGAAAAAATATTTTTATCAGATATACAGTAGCCCAAAGATACATAAGAGAAAAGCCCTCAATCTTTTCAATGAAAAGTAAGAGCAAGTATAAATGCTTACCTGGGACAAGATGCAAGACTCCTCTCAAACAGGATGAGCTTCAATGCTTGAAGTAGTATGCTCTTAAGCTACATGTTCCACAAAAGCCAAAAAGTACTGCTCTGTTTACCTTTAAAGCCATGCACCTTCTATTCAGTTACTAGTGGCAACTGCTTGACCTGAAACTCTTTAGCTGCTGGGAAGCCTGTTTGTCAAGTTACTTTAAAACACTTGTGCTCATTTCAACAGACCCTGGCAGACATATCTGTATGTGGATAACTCCCTCTGCACAAGTAATTGTCAGTGTGCCTGCAGGAATGCTTACAGTGATATTTGGTCTGCTTCTGCCTCACCATATTTTATTCATTCAAGAGTATAGTTTTCACCAATCCCCAGCAGGTTCCCTTCTAGGAAACAGGACAGATGAACTGAGTTATTGCAACAGGCAAAAAAGCCAAGGTATTGGAGGGACTAAGGGTAGAGATTATCATTTTCAGCAAAGCATTATAAAAAATAAATTAGGAAGATCCAATGTGTATTTAAAAATGCAACAGGCTCAACTATTAAAAATGCATGGTAGCAAAGTGATTCAAGATGTTTTGATGTTTATGGGGGAAATAAAAAACCACAGAATTCTGCCTTTTCACTGCTTTCATTATAGAATTATCTTTTTCCTCTCTTTTTTCTCTTTTTTTTTGGGTCTTTTTTTTGGTTTTGTTTTGTTTTGTTTTTTTTACTATTTTGTCCAATTAGTGCTAATTCTTTAATTACATAAAACCAGATAATTGCTACTTGCTACTAAAGCTGACTTCCCACCTGAAGATAGTCTTCCATAGCTAAACCTTTAACAGGCAGCTGTCATCAAAAGCTGAAGATGTTGACAACATCAGATTGTTGTCCAGTACCAGAGGAAATGGATCCTCAGATGGTAAATATAAAGAAATATGGGGCAAGTGTTTTGATGAAGTTACAGATGGCTAAGCAGCAAGAGCATATGAGCTCTCATGAAGCAAAAGATCCTATTTTTATGTAAATGTCCTCACCACTGCTGTGTAAAATCTAGCAATCTCAGCTACCAGATTCAAGACACTTATTCCCATTGCACATTCCATCTTGAAATTTAGTGTGAAAACTTCAAAGAGCAAAAGAAATTCAACAAGATCTTTCAAGATTTGAGTAATACGCTGAGTAATCCCACTTGTAGCCTTTTAATCCCATACAATAACTAAGCACCGTGCAGCTGCTTGTTTACACCCCTTCTCCCATCAGTGGCATGAGGAGGAAAAATAGAAAAAGGCAAAACACGTGGACTAAGATAACAATTTAATAGTTGAAATAAAGTAAATTATCATGAACAAGCTTCTAGGGCATATCAGTGCTTCTCCCCAGCTACAGGCTAAAAGGGACCACTTCTCAAGTGCAAAAAACTAATTGCTCACACTTTCATAGAGTCTCAATCAGCTGGCATTTGCCCTTCATAAATATTTCTGCATAAAATCTAACACAGAGGACCTGCCCATTCAGGAATATGGTAACAAGTTAAGATAAGCCTCAAAGCACACTTGAGAGCTAAACAGATCCAGTGTTTGGGGAGTGCTTTTTACTTTGAGGCCTACATCAAGTTTGATCAGCTCTTTGAAGTAGAACTGAAAAGATTTGGCTTGCTCAGTCACTCTAGAAATGGATATGATCTTTCACTATTTTTTTTCACAGAAATTTTATAACCCTTCCTCCCTATTTTTTCATGCTGAAAAGAATCTTAGGTGACCCAGAGGTTCAGATGGAATTTCTTATAGAAACCTAAGAATGGCAAATGACATATATACATATATGACATATATGTATATATGGCATTATATAAATGAAGTCTATATAATATACTTTAAATGTAAAATCTAATTTTTCTTTATTCTACACCCAAATAAAAAATAACTTTGAACAGATATCATGTCAAGTTGTCACCATTCTGTAATAAGGCAAGAGTTTGAAGCTTCTTTTCTTTGTTCTTAAATATGCCTGCCTTTTTGTAGTGGAGAAGTGCATACAGTACCTGTTGTTATTCTTATGTGGTTCCTTAAAAGTTTTCATAAAGACAATAGGTTACCAGTGAAATATAGTATCAGCTCATCAGGTTCCTGAGGTGCTCTTCTGCAAAGCTATGAAATAACAGTTCATCTCCTCTTTGCAGAAACCTAATACAAAATTTTCCACATACAATCACCTTAAAGTCTTCCCTCCTCCCTCTCCAGCTTCACATCCCACCCAAACCCTTCAATTTCAGAAGATTTAAAAAAAAATAAAAGAAAAATAAAATAAAAAAGGAAAGAAAAACAGCTTATAAAACAGCAAAGAAAATAAACTTATTTTAATATATATAGAAAGAGAACAAAATGAAACTTGAGGGAAAACTTACTGGCGTTACAGTTTATCCTGATACAGTCTAGATGGGGAAAAATAAATGAAAGATGAAATTGCATCCTTCAAGGTAACAGCTGCAGACATCCAAAAACAATCAGTCCACCCTTCCGGGGACAGACACACGCAAAGAGATGTGGCCATTTTATACTTATACACAGTCTGTACAAGTTCAGGAGTGGGTGTATATGTACAGTATATTCTATGTAAATATCTGTTACATAAATATATATATATATATATGCATATATATATATATATACATATATGTATAGAGAAATATACCAATATACATACATAGCCACATGTTGACACAAAGTTCTTTTCTTTTTTAGAAAAACCTACAAATCTAAGAGAACTTCCACTCCAGACCATGACTTGATATGAATTACAATTTAAAAAATTATAATTAAGGCATAAAAATCTCCCTCAAGACACAAGTCATACTCAAGTGTCATTTTGCTTTTTCGACACCTTTAGCAATTTATCTAAGAAGCTTGAAGCTCAAAGTGAACGTTTACACTTGGTTTATTTTAAATTAATTTGTATTGTTATTGCATAAATACACCATCTGTCAACAGAGAATACCTGTAAAATCAGCCTGTGAGATTTTTTGGTGCAATATTTAACTCTTTCCAGCTCTCCCAAAGATAGATCCTCTTCTAATTCCCCCAAAGCCAGCCCAAAACACTTTTTAATATGTGCACAGACACATTTGACACTGTCTGCTCAGGTGAGGAAAGGGTTAATATACTGCCCAGTTGTGTCCTATCATAAAATGGCCACTTGCAAACAGCTAACCGCACGAACGCCCAGCCCAGATTTCAGCTAGCTCTGGAGGTTGGGAATACTTTTTTTTGGGCTTGGCAGGGAGAATGGGGAAGTCTTTCAAAGGTCCCCAGCCCTGCCAGTTCCTCAGAGCCCAATCTCATCTTGCTGTCTGAACGCTAAGGCTGAGTGGAGTGTTTGTAACGTTCAGGGAGAAGAGGAAATGGGCAGTGAAGTGGCAGATCTGGGAACCTTTGCTGCCCTGCTTCATTCAGAGGTCACAGGCAGGGGAGGGACAAAGAGAGGTACAAGGAGAGAAAAATAGTTATGCTTGTGGAATCTAATAAATGGTAATGGAAGAGTCTCCACAAAGAAAGCAAGTTGAGGTAGGAGAGCCTGAGTAGAGGGCTTCTGAGCATTGCTTCTCTCTTTTAACACACTAATGCTCAGCATATCTCAGGATATGATCCATAAGAGGATCTTTCATTTAAAAATGCTTATTTACAGCCTTGTGAACATCAACTGCTGTGGCTTCTAACATGGGCTTTCATATTAGTGCTATTACATATCTTGGGCTATGCTGGCCCTCTCTCAGGAAATCATGGCCATGAGTAATAACACCATGCACTGCACACATTGTCTGGACAACTAGAGTTTTGGTCACCAGGAAAGGTTGTATTTATTACAGAGATATGGCCCAGCAAGGGAGATTATATAGAAAGGCAGAGAAATATAATGCAGTTTGCTTCTTTACTGGGCCAATTTTATGTTCGCTCAGACAGATGTAGGAAAATTACTTCAGCAGCTTAACTCAGTTCTTAAAAAAAATGAAGGAGGGGAAAGAACAAGAGTCTATAAATAATAAATTAAAAGTTGCAATGAGCAGGGACATACCAATCATGAGTAACATAGCCAGAGAGAGTCTGTTTTCAAGCAGAACTTCTCCTGAGAAAATCTGGGTTTGGTTTTGTGCGATTAGGTTTGTCATGTGTCGTCAACCGCAACAGAAAAGTGGGAGCAAACAGCCCTGGAGCAACCGCTACGATCACCATACAGTGGTGGCTATATCCCTTACAGGAGTTGGGTGGGGTAAAGGGAGCTCTGAAGTACATGCAGGGGAACTTCCCTCTCTGACCTGATGGAGAGTGACAGCAAGAGAGACACCCAAGTCTCACCACAGGCAAGTGAGGTCAAGAGAATTGCTACAGCTGGAACATGGGAATTTCTTACAGACTAAAGAGCAAGTGTGCTGGAAAGGGAAACATACATGGCTGGTCTTCAGCAACATTCATCAAAGACACTTAAAATCACTCTTGTGTTATTGATGTCTGCAGAGTTTTGTTTTGTGGGGTTTTTAAGTGATAGCAAAATAACTATTTGTCCTAGGGCTTGCCCTCAGGCTGAAACACTACTCCAGATTAAGGGATAGATGTTTCAAACTGAAAACCAGTGTAACCCTTATCTTCACTGCAAGATTCCTATTTCAAAGGATGGAAGTCCGGGCCACTGAGAGGGCTGCCTTGACAAGTGCCCTGACATGGCACTACTACATCTCCAGGCTGTGAGCACAGTCTGCAATGCCATGCAGTTGGGAGCCAGACAGAAACACCCAGGTGCAAAGCAGCTCCCCATCCAGCTTTCATCTAACTGGGTCAGTGTGGATCCTACAGGGTAGCTAAGAGAAGGTATCTTCTTGCACTGTTACCCCAGCACCACCATATCATCCACATTACCATCAAAGAATGTGCAAAGGGTTTTTTTGTTGCCTTAATTTTGAGCCTGGCCCAAAGCAGTCCAAAAAAAATTTCCAACCATTAACACATGAAGTTGTTCTCGCCCTCTTAAATGAGTTTTTGAAAAGGAAGAAAACACTTATGTTCCACTAAACTAGTAAAACAGTACAAATCCAAAGCAGAGGTTTTTCCTGGCAGTGAGGTGCAGATGTAGTCTGGTCTTTGTGCTCAAAACAGCAGCATCTGGCTAATTCAGGAATAATTTTAAAAACTCCTTGGGATTCCTGCTGCACAGTACCAGGGCAGTAAGACTTCTGGTAATCATCATCTGGAGCACTCAGCCCTGTTATCAGTATTTACTTCTGAGATAGATTTTGGAGATGAGTATGCCTGAACAGCTGTAAACCTAGTCACCTACCAGTTCAGCAACTGGAAAAGGAATGTGGTGGGTAGTAGGCAAGTGAAAATAGTCTCTTACTGCATGGGTAGCAAAATTAGCTGGGAAAACCTCCTGCAATTACTTTCTTTTCATTAATTGTCTAATATACACCAGAAGTTCCTTTCTTAGTGCTCAGATGAAAGGTTTTCCAGAGCATATCACCTGGAAAATGGGCCAAAGACACTGTCCTCCAAAAAGGTTAAATAACTCGACTGCAATCAGCTAACACAAGGGATCCATTATTTGAATAGAGGTATCTTTAGCAGCAAACAGATCTGTAATTTAGGCCTGTGTTTCTTACCATTTTTATCTTTTTGTCTGAAAATAGTAATATTTATTTGATGCTGCCAAGCCTTTAGGCTGTTTAATCCTTGAATAAAAAAGAAAGCTACCTTTACTGTGTGAGGACAAAATGTTTTTTCCTTTGGATAAGCAGCTATATGTGGTTTTGGAAGAGTATTTTAGGGCAAGAATAGGACAAAAAAGTTAATCAAGGCCCAAATTTTTCTAAGCTTACTCTGAGTTGTTTCCTATGGGAAAACCAGATAAAGTCCTGTGCACACTTACCCTACATTATATTGAGGCTCCTTGCCTATCTCCTACTTGCACTATTTTCATGTAGAAATATCAAAAGAAACTTTCCCTTTTGGACAGACAAATGTGGTTCTAACAGCCTTCAGGATTTATTTTAGGAAAAGATAGGTGAGAGAGATGATTACACCTCCTTAAATGAGACGAGGCAGGAAATACTTATCCTAGTCATCAGTGACCTGAAGATATGCCAGGCCAGGAAGAAAAAAAACTGAAATAATCTTTAATGAATGGGGGTATAACATTATAACCCTACCACTTATAAATAGGAGGAAAAATGTGAACATGGATCTCTCTATCAGACCAGCCATTTCTTTCCCTTTCTGCACATCATCTCAGCATCAAAAATTACTCCCAAGCATGTTCCAAGCTATGATTTGCCTAACATCTATATCTCTCTCTCCTTCCACTCCAGACCCATTTCTTCAGAATCCTCTCAACAGAGATATGTATCAACATTTAGATTTCTATTCTTCGCACAGCAAAAACTCCACTGAGAGTCATGCTGTCAGCATGAAGATTTGCAGTGCCTCAGGCACCCACACTGGAAAGGTCTGAAGCAACTTCCTTGCCCCCTTCCTGAGAGAATTATTCCTTTCTGCTCTTCCTTTCCCTCCTCCGTTGCAGAGCAAGCTCCCAGCTGCCCATGCCCACCCAGGCCCACCGTGTGTCTCTCCCCTGGCTGGTTTGGGCAGTGTGAGCTGAGGGGTGAGAGGGATATGCCAGCCGCTGCAGGCTGCTCCGTACGCTCTGTTCTCAGGGCTGTTTGCCGTGCGGGCCGCAGGCTTCAGGCCTTTGAAGGGTCGAATACCATCTTTTGATTTACCATGGCTGATGGGGCATGGGAAAGCTTTACAACTGAAACACATAGAAGAGTCAAAAAATAAAAAAAAAATAAAAAGGAAAAGAAAAAAAAAAAGTAGGAAAGACCTTAATAAAGACACAAATGATAATAAGTAGTCAAATGGAATAGATCACAGAAGAGAAGAAAGAGACAGCTCTTAGTAATAATATTAAATGACATAAGAAAAGCACAATTAAGTAACTCACCCCTCAAAACAGTCCTTTTTCACAGGCATTTATCATGGGTTAGATGCTCGGGGGATACTGATATAGCTAGTCAGCACAAAGCACACTCAGATCTTCAGAGGTGGTGCTGACTGTTTCTCACTGGTAAGGGGATTTTGGCAAGGTCGGACAAAGATTTAGTTCTTGTTTGTGACATTTGGGCTATGAGCAGTCTCCGTACAGAGTTATTGTGACTTAGAGTAAACAACTGGAAATGAATGGCTCTGATAAGGTGATTCTTCCTCAAATTCTGTTTTTCAACAGCAATGTAACTGCTGTTTTGGTAGAATGAAAGTCCTGTTTCAAGGACATTTTCTGACAGTTTTATAAATCTGAGTAAAGGAGAGATGAAGCTCAATCTGGGTTCCAAAAGTCTAAAGTACCCCTCTGTTTCTTAGACATAGAAGAGTGCTGGCAGATTTCCATTGATTCAGCCCATAGTCACTTTGGGGAAGATTTAACCTCACAAAAATTCACAACTGAAAAGCTGGCAAAATGTGGCATACACATTTCTTCAGTCCCTGCTACTACACAGAATCAGCCTTCAGTTTACACAGGGGTTTGTTTAAAGATTTTGTCCCTGCATTAAGCTGTCAACAACATATCTTTCCTAAACATGTGTAGACTATCTGTCAAATCTTTAGCCACATCTTTTAGGTGCCAGACAGAGTTGAGCAGTCCACCTCTAGGCTAAGTGATGGCATAACAAATCCCAGTGAGTGCCAAAAGTGACCAGTGCCAATCAGGCTTACAATGTTGACAGGCCCTGAGGGGAAAAAAATCTTCTGCCAGCATGATATAATGAAAATTGGAAAGGAAAAAGTAAGCTTTAAAAAATAAGTATATTCAGGGTGTATACCCTCCTCATATCCACTTAGGGTCTAAGTCTAGGAGGCCACAAACACCCAAAATTAGTAATTTCCCCAGTTCTCATTCATTTTTAAGCAGATATAAGAGAATCAAACTAGTGCTATCTTTCTCAGAACAAAAAAGTGACAGTTTTTTTATGAAGTCTGGCAATTTTCATGCTGTAGTACTTCTCATGTGGGAATATCAAATGTGATAAAAGCAACCCTTACTAAAATACTAACACATCCTTCACAGGGTGCAAAGAATTCTCCTTTCAACAAATAGAGGAACTAGGGCTTGGAAAGTAAAAGAACTGGCTCTGGGCTACAAGAGGATACTGTAGAGTTGGGAAGATACTCAGTTGCCCCAACACTTCCCCAATAGAAGCATGCCACTACCAATTTTTAGCAATTAATTTTATTTTCTGAGAAAAAAATAGCTAGCCATAATTTTCAAGAAATGAAATGGGGGAAATATAATCTTTTTTTCTTGATTATTAACAACTAATTAGATCAGAAGAAAATGCAAACACATATAGATGCACAAATGCTCTGGGGTTTTGTGGAAGATTCTCATTGCACAAGTAAGGAGGCTCAACAGCAGTTATTTTGAGCTGCTCTCCAGAGAAACTCTGCAAATATATGAAATTCTCCTTCACTTAGAGTTAATATAGGCAGAGATGGCTATCATCAGAGTGCCATTTCTCTTTATTTGAGGAGTTACTTACACAGCTGAGGTTCATCTATTCCATCTGTCCTACAGGCCAGTCTGGTTAGCATAGCAAGTGCACTTATGCAGCTACAGACTCGATAATGTTTTATGCTTCTTCTGTCAAGTTAAGCAGAGCAAATATGCAAATATATGGAGGTTTTTTGGTTGGTGTTTAGCTTTTATTTACTAGAAGGCAAGAGTTTCTATAGACTTTTAGATGGACACTTTTTTTTTTTTTAAGATTTATGAACTTTTTTGATTAATCTTCTTATCTTCACTTCCTTATTCAAAAAGTAAATAACAAGGTCTGGGTCACAATTTTAAAACCAAAAGAAACACCACTAGATGCAAATTTAACAAGTAAGTTAGTTTCAGAGGACAACATATTCTACAAACAAAGCTGCTATATGGTTTGCTCCTGGTAGGCACAGCAGAGCTCTGAAGATGGTGACACTATTAGCTCTAAAAATGTGCAACTTGTTCCAGTGGACTTTGGAACTTTAAAAGCTGACAGAAGCTTTCATGGACCATCCACAAACCTTCATGTAGGAGGTATAAAATTATGCACTATTGTGTTTGTTTTGCCTTATTGAGTCAGCACATGAAGCAACAAGCTGTATCACTGGAAAGTGAAAGAAAGCTTCAACTCATGTATTTACATTCTTTAAAAAATTATCATTCTGTAGAATACCTAAAGACTGGCAAGAAAATTAATTGAGGCTAATCTAATAGCATATTCACTCCCAATTTTTTTTTTATTGTTCTTATTGTTGGACTTGTTTATAATTGTCTTTTTAAATTGTTTTCTGGGAAAGCATAACTCTAAGGAGACAGAACACAGCCCTTTGGGATGGGGGCATGCACTTTTATTGTTGTAAATTTCTTTTTAAAAAAGACACAAGAAAAAGACCAGGCTTTTTTATTAGATAAATAAAATATGGCAAGCGGTATCAAATGCTGCCAAATGATGCAAAGGACAGGGGGTTCATAGGACTTCTTCTTGCCACCATATCCAGTTTGCTTCCTTTCCATGTTTGCCTTTGACTGTTTTGAGTGATGCTGGATGAATGAGGGATGTAACTGATCAAAAGATGGACCAAGTAGCATGTTTCACACAGAGCTCACCAGTCCCAGACCAAGAAAGGAAACTTAAAAACTTAAAGACTTAAAAACCAACACTGTCCATAACGTAGAACTGACAGCAAATCTTCATGCAGCAATGCAGAAGAGAATTTCTCTCCGCAAGAGAATATAATTATAAAAGTTTCAGCAGATATTTTAGAAATCAATCCAATCAAACCAACAGAAAATAAATGAAATAACTTTAGAAAACACTAATCACAAGCCCAAACTAATAGAGAAGAGGGCAGTGGGAGTGTTTATACGATACCTAAATTGACCATAAGTTTGACCCGGCCTCCATCCAGCTCCAGGCGCAGGGTGTCAGCAGAGTCTCGGGAGGTGGTTGCCATCAGCAGCCCATAAGCACGCTGGGACATGAAACGGAAGGACACATCCTCTGCTTCTGTGTGCATAACCATAGGCATGATGATCTTCATGTACATGCTGCCATCATAGCTCAAGATAGAGGCCTCTGCAAGGAATCAGCAAAATTGCAGAAATTAGAAGTTACACCTCTGAGGAACCCTCACATCTACCAGAGAGTACTGTGCTTACAGAATCCATAGCACTTGCACAGAAAGGGATATAACTGGGGAACAGTGCAACATTTAACTGCACTCAGAAACCCTGCAGGGCAAATATGAGCAGCAAAGAAAGAGATGGTGTTCACTGCAACTGGTGACAGCAGTGCCCATGGACACACAGTTCCCAAGGTCAAGCATGTAAGGACAAAGCCCCTTTGTGATTATAAGCTAGCAAAGCCTTCATTTTTCACATTTCCTTCAGTGCACTGAAGACCATCCTTCACTAGGACTAGCAGCAATGACTAGAGTGACTAGAGTTCTAATTTCTGGTACTCTTGCTGTTGCTTATTTAGAGAGAAATTTCATTTCATTGATATCACTTTAAAGACAAACAACTTTATAAAGTGAATTTCCTAATAGGTCTTTTCTAAATCAGATTTGTTCCATTTTTTGAGTTTATTTTTCTACTACTTATTAACAATCAGTGTTTGTAGAGCTCTGCTGACACAATCAATGCAAATGAAGAAAGGAATAAACCAAACTCCATTGCAAGTGTCATTCAAATGCAGGAAAAGTTAGAATATAGAGGCACTGTGAAAGCCAGTAGGAGGGGAAGAATTGAAGAAAGAAGTTATATTTTTCTATAATCTCTGAAGATGTCAAAGAAAATTGGAATTTCAGCTGAGGAAAAGAGTTAAATTTAGCATTCTCTATTTGTTCAGGGTCTTGCCTGCAGAAAGTGATATTCTCCTCTAAGGGGTAGAATTAAAGTCTTCCGTTAGAACTGCAGCAAGCACTTCAGCATGGCAATCATTGTTTCTTCACGGAGTATGCTCAAAAGCATTTTTATCTGCAAACTTTACTAATCTACATAAATATATTAATACATTAATCAGAGCATTTATATTCCCCACAGCCAACCCCTGTCAAAGGCAGAGCTGTAGAGTATTGCTCCATATTGGGCTTCTACCATAAAAATACATATCAAAATGCCAGAGTTTAAAAAAAAATAGACTGGTTCAGCTTCCTAGAAACATGGGGATGGATTGCTCTAAAACTCCCTTACCAGTACCTCATCCAGTTCAATTCACCTGAAGTTTTTCCAAATTATTGACTGGGATTCTCTCCAGGCACCACCACCTCACCACACCTAGAAAATTAACAGCCCATCTAATTTATCCAAGTGCAAAACATGTATCTGGAATGATGATGTTCTCCTTATGTTTTCCTTCGTCCCATTTTTCCCAGCCAATGAGAGCAGAACTTCCATCAGGAAACAGCAAGCTTGGCAGAGCCAAACCTTACATCCTCTCAATGTCTAAATGTCAGTAGGTTAAATGGATGAGAAACTGAGGAACAGCGAAGTGTCCATGCCATAAAGTACCCATGGCAAGCTCCAAAATGGGCAGTAACAGAACTGTTCATGCAATGCAATAAATATGCAACTGAGGTGATAAATAAATAAGCTGGTAAATTGACAAAGACATGTATATGGTTCCAAAACATTTGGTGGGCATCACTATAGTTGTGCTGGTGCAGCAACCCACCACACTAATAGCTGGAATGCAGCACATCTGCAGTCATAGGACACACAAACATATTAAGAAAACTTTTCTGGGAGCACCATTAAGATGAACATCCCTGCTCATCAGTTTTTTTAGCTGCACTCACCACACACTGTCATGGTCTGTGGGCAAAAAGCTTTCTACACACATCACCCACTCAGCCATTACATTAAACACATCTCTGGTACCAGCTGCCAGTGCTCCCTTGGGGTCCCACATCTTCATTTGGCCAAGAAACAGAGGAGGAAAGAAAGCTTCTTTTTCAAGGTGGAAGAATAGTTTCTTCTTTTCAAAGTGCAATTCTCTTCCCCCTCACGTCTGCACCTCTCACTTGCCACCCACAGCTGCAAGCTGGAACTAAATGTACTGTATATTATACATACACTCAAAGGCAATGCCTATGTACACACAAACCTTTCTTGCTCTCTTTCCTCTCTCTCTCTGCAGATTGTATTAGAAAATGCAGCCAAGCATGAAATGGCTCTTTTGACGCCTTCAGCTCAGATGTGCCTTGCATGAAACAGTTGCTGGCCCTAGCACATGAATATCTGGGAGAAGGGGGTTGGAGGATATTGGAATAATGAGTGGGAGTAGCTGACACAAGTGTCCCAGCTCTGCTGCTTCCATCTCCACAGTGCCATGCATTAGGTGCTTCAAAACCAGGAGTTTTCTGCAGTGACTAGAACAAACCAAAAGCATGGTAATAATGAGTCTCTTCCTTTCAGTAAGAACTTGTGTCCTTCAGCTTTACTGATCCCATTGCCAGATAATTACTGTCCTTAGACAAGAAATCCCAGCCCTTACTATTATACTTATGTAAGGAGGACCTGAAGAATACTCCAAATTGCTGAAGATGACATAAAAGTCAAGACAGTGTTTCAGCTGACATTCCAGTGTAGCCTAAATCAGGTATTACTGTCCCTTCTCCAGCCAGTCTTCTACAAACATGATGTGATGAAACCTTGTAACAATTAAGCAGATAAAATTCAATATCTTGAAACATCTTAAACAGCCTCTACACAATCCCAGGAGACAATGTTCTGTCTCCTATGTGTGCCCTATGCACTTGATGTATTCCAAAAATGACAACATTTCATTCTCACTTTGCAAGCCTTCACAGTCTGGAGTATCTGAGAGCATTTCAGCACATCTTGCAAGCAGAACATTCCCTCCAGTTATGAAAATACCCCTTCAGAGGAGGGTATTGCCTAGTAGCAGTCATACAAGAAAAACCTATTTCCTTTTCCTGTCAGTCAGTCCCCAAAGCTTGAGAAAGTCATTTTACAGTTGAGCAAAGCATACAGCAAAACTGCTCAGGGTTGAATGTAACCTGGCAACAAGTGCATGACCTCAGCCTCCCAGACACCTGTGCTGGCAACTTCTGCCTGAACACAGGCAACCATTCAATTGTCCTCAGCCATCAGCAGCAATGGGACCGTATGCTTTGTTCAGCACCATAAATACAGGCAGCAGCACAGTTATCCAAGTTTAAAATACATGCACATTTCTACCACCCTTCTACTTTTAGGGCAGCTATTATATTGGATGCATAGGAGCAATATGTGAAATCATGTTTGAGACCCCCACAGATTTGTACAGACAAAAATATTGAGTGGCATTTATTTGTGATCCCAGTGCCAGAAGCTTCATTGCCATTAGCTTGGAGACAGGAAGAGGAAGAAATCAGGTGCTGGTTCAAAAGTGCTCTGACATAATGCCAGAAATCTGTGAAAATCAGTATGTTATTAGGAGCAATTAGCTTCCCAGTCTTGTGCTCTCAGACCCTGCCAGTTTTAATTTTACACTTAGCATCCAAAGGAGCAATTCATTGCAGCTTCCACACAAGGCTCTGCATAAACCTCCTAGGGAGATGGAACAGGCATATGCTTAGCATACAGACAGAAAATTATTTAGGACCTCTTCATGCTTTTTCTCCTGCTTTCAAACCACTCTCTTGCATTAATCTCCATTCCTCACCTCTTTTCTTTCTCCTCCCTTTTAGTTTTTCTCTAGTCTTCTGTTCTTCCCTGTGGTCTTTTTCCTATGCCCCCCAGACTACAATACAGTGTAGTTTCTTACTGAAATTTTCAGAAAGGTGACAGTGTAAAAAGAATTTTAAATATCCACACTTCATGAAAGTTGCAGTCCCCAGTGACAGGAGTTCAGGGCACAGAACATTTTCCCCAGCTACATTTGTGAGACCAAAACACTTAGAGCAAAGATTTCTGTGTTCTTGTGAATTCAAATATCCCTAAAGTGCCTAACCTTTGTATTCGCAAACCGAACATTTTCCTGCAGGCATTGATTGCGCAGCTCACCTCCTGCCCTCACATATCCAGTAGCAGACACATGGCCCCAGATAAAAAATAGATTTTCTGAAAGCCAAAATTACACTTTAAAACAAAACAAAACCACACTAAATATATATTTTTTAAAAAGAAGCAATAAATCCTCTTTCCTGTCTTAGTGGATTCCATACAGATGAGTTTCAACAAAAAGAGCCTGACAAGTAATTTGGGAAGCCCAAATGTAATGACTCAGACTGAATTTGATGACAATCCAGGAGAAAAAGGTCCTGTTTTGGTGGACAAAGATATGGATAAAGACACGATGGGAACTTTAGGTGCTCAAAAGCGGTTGGGACCTTGCACATCATCCATCAGGATGGGTGCCAGAAGCTGTGGAGTTCCCTGTGCCAGTGCCTTGCTGCCCAGGGCTGTCCCACACACACAGGGAGGTGAGTGGCACAGATGTGCAAATGGAGGCCAGGTCCAACCAAGAGCCAGGAAACCTCATGGTGATGAGGCAGGTCCATGCTCAGGCCAGGAAGTCAATCTGCTGGCCAGGTTCAGAGCGATTGCCAGGCAGAGCCACAGTGACAGGGCTGCAGAAGGGCCTGGCCCGGCAGCACCCATGGCTGGCACACTGTGGGACCTGGGGACCGGCCCTGCCACAGCATCACCCATCTCATTGTCACTGGACTTCACCTTAAACTTAGTCCCCCAAACAGGAAAGAGCAATTTGAAGGGATGTAAATGTAATTCACTAGCACTGAGAGGGACAATAAGAGAGAACACAAAACCATCTTTAAAAACCTGCTTAAACTGAAGCATTACATTAGAAATAAGAATGGGATTTATTAGTCTAGCAAAATACCATGCAAACCATAAATACCACTAATAAGCCACTGATAGGGTTTACTGTGCTAGTAAGTACAAAGCTATTCTGCTTTAGAGATTTCAAACTGACAAGATGTCAATAGTATTATTATGAGTTGTTATCCACTGGAAACTCATAAGAATAAAACAGTAAAAATCTTGGACACATACAGCTACAGAAAAGTAAAGAAACCAGACTGATTTTGCTGGTACTTTATCTCTCTG